TGTAAAATTAAGAACTCTATTAGAAATACACGAATGGGGATGCTTAAGTTCCTTATAAGCACGCAAAAAGAGTTTATATAAACTACATTATATTGGAACTGCTCCAGATGAAATGTTTCCTCAACAAGAATATTAAACATATTATCCAACTACTACAAAACTCTGGATCCAGCTAATATACTGCAAAATTCAGACAAGAGATCCAAACTCCTCCTACTTCTGTTGTCTTTTTCTCAAGGCCTCAACTTTTTGGTTCAATTATTAATGCATGTCTGGTGTGTTTTAAATTTTTAATACATATGCATGCAGATAGTAATAAAACAAATAAGAATAACCTGTGAGGAGATCTGGAGATGTGTATGCAAACTCGACCCAACCGAGCTCATCGCCACGCCACTTGAGAATACGACCGTCCACGACCGAAGCATACGGACCTTCTCCTCGTGGGTCCCACTCAATGCTCTCCGGCTCTCCGGAGCAATTATGGTCTGATACAAACTACGGACAAGACGGCCAAAACAACCGGAACGGTGAACCAAGTCGGAATTTCTAACTAGTTGGCATTTTTTTCACCAACGGCGAAAAATATGCTTGTTGAAGAGAGACGTGTGTAACAAACATCATCAAAGTGAAAAAAAAAACACGTATGCATGTAAATGTTGTCTAATAAAAGACTAATTGCTCTGAAATGTAAATGTTGAATCAACGAAACTCTCGGATCTTCTTCTCCATCTCGCTTTCCCCGGCGGCACTTAAGGCTAGTTTAGATAGAATAACGAGAAACAAGCTTCTCTCTCAACAATTTCTCTTCTTGAATTTCATTTCGGTTGTATTTCTTAATCCGTTGTAATCATTAAACTTTCTCGTTCCTTTTATTTTGTTTTTAATTGCGTAGAATAGGTTGTAACTTCTATAGTTACATTATTCAAGAAATATACAATCAGTTTATAAGGGTTGCTATGAAATGCCTAGTTGCCTAATAAAGACTTAATGCTACAAAATGTAAATGTTGAAAACAACGAAAGCTAGATTTGAAATATAAATATATCATGTATAACATTGTCAAGGTACAGA